AGGCAGGTAACAAAAAAAATGGATTTATCACCGAGTCTCTAAATTGCCTAGGCAGTCCTCAAACTTGCAGTCTTCCTGCCTCAGCCTCCCAGGTAGTATGTTTGTGCAGATCCACCAAATAGTGTCCCTGGCGAAAAAGCTTCTTTCCCCTTCCTGATACCAATGGGTGGGGTGAGCGTTATCATGGGGAATTTATGCTTTGCCTCAGGCAGGCAAGGGGAGGGTGACAGCTCCTCCCGTGTCTGCTTTTTCTCAGTTGCTCAAAGTAATCCTTACACCCAATTAGCCTATCTTACAGGCTCATACGCTGATCCTCTGCACATTTTAAAAGAAATTTAGTTATATTACCTTCAAAACCCTGCAGAAACCCAGAGTAGAAGAAAACGGACTCTCGTCACCTGGCAGCTTTATTTAAGGAACAGAGCATTTAAACCACATTAAATTACTACTACACAAACCAGGGCTTCTAAAGCCATGACATGCAGGTTTTTTCTCTTTCATAAATTAAATGTCTTCCCTCTGATCCTGATTGGTAAAGCTTTTTACAACATGAATATCAACTATTACCTAGGACAAACTATGCAAGGTTGAAATAAAGTATGGTTTAAAGTTTATAAATAAATGACATGACTGTCACTAGCTGGAAGCTGGTAAATCATCAAAGAGGATGAGTATCTTATTTCTAGGTTTCCTAATTGGCTTAGTCCTAGAATACCCGGGAATGGAGGGGACATCCGGACCCCCAGGTCCTGCTCGGCCTCCGACTGAGGATGTGGCTCCAGGGTACAGTGGCCGCTCTCAGGCCCCAGGGCTGGGTGAGCAGCTGACCTCAGCCCCGGCCACCTTTCAGTCCCACCCCTCACCAGTTTCACTAGCTGCTGACACGGCCACTGGTCTGGGCCTAGGGCGCCACGAGCAATACTTATGTTGAGTATTTCTTTCACAAAGCCCAGTGTTGTAAAAAATCGCATCTGGAACATACCCGTCCCACCTCCTGGTGTATATCAGTTCCAAGAGAATAGAACTGATTTCATTCTACCCCTAAGCAAATCAGGCTGAAATCACAGAAAACCAGAGCCAGAGAAAGTAAAGTACTTTTGTCTTCTTACTCTTACGAGTTTTAGAATTTTTAAACTCTCCAATGAGGAAGTCTTTCAATTCACAAAACCTGAAGGAACAACTTGAAGGGTGGAAGGCACTGTTTTAAACACCCTGCAACTGGACTCTGATTTTAGCAGGAAGGAGATTTCGGGGTCCCTATTTTAGACAATGCCTGGGACCCAGCACAAAGAAGCCTGCAGCGACTACTCGGGGCCGAGGTCCCCATCTCCCCCTCCAGGAAGGGACTAAACTCTGGGTGCCAGCCACCTGTGCCCAGGTGTCCCGGCTGAGGGAGTCTGGGGGACCTCCCTTTGTCCCCACGGGCCACTTCAGTCTCTTCTGCTCCGAAGCTCCTCCCCACCCCTGCACGTCCTCCGGGTGCCAAGTCTGTCCAGCTCCCACAAACAAAAGGCACCCGGGGTGCCCTCAGGCTGCGTGGGAGGTGCCAGGATGCAGCCTGTCACCAGAGGCCGCACAATCTCATAGTCAGTTTGTAATCCACCCCTCCCACCCGCAGGCAGCTTTCTGGGAAGAGTAAAGGCAAAGTCAAACGGAAGAGCCTTATACCCTCTCCCCTTTCCTTTAACCTCTGTGCTAAGGCTTTTACAGCACAGAGCGGGTCCAACTCGTGCCCCAGTCACCATGAATTCAAAAGGCCCGGCGTCACCTGGCTGCTCCAGGCCAATGGATGGGAGCCAAGGTGGGGTAACGAGTTGGGCCTGAAGGCCAAGACCCCAAAGGTGGCCCTTAGTGAAGCTCCCGGGGCCGGAGCCGGCCTGTTGCACAGCCCAGGCAACACCAGAGTACTCCAGTCTTTGCCAGAATCTGAGGACCGGGCTCACACCCTCACCAGGCACCCTCAGGGAGATTCCTGTACGTCAGAGTGACTCACGCATGGGAGGGGGTCCCCGGTGACAGCTTCGAAATCCACCCCTTTATGTTGCGTCTTTACGTGGCTCTGCATCAGACGTCTGGGTGGGGTGAGAGGGAGCGGCCCCTCGGGGGCCTGTTCCTTCCTCCTGGGGTCACTCGGTGCCGCCTGATGAAACTTCTCAGGTCCTCAAGCTGTGTCTGTGAAACGGGGCTCTAGAGCGCCATACTGAGCCCTCAAAAAAACAAGTTTCAGGGGTGTGTATGTCTGATCATCAGGGTAAATCCACAGCTAATCTGTCTTTTTCCTTCAACTTCCAACATCATGGCTCTGGCCATACAGGGGAGCATCAGCTACGGGCAGGCAGATAAGAGGGGGCTGAGGCCAGGATCCCCAAGTTCCATGTTCCACATACCCAAGCATCCTTGAAAATGGGCGGAAGAAATAGCTAAACAGGGGCCCTGGGGATGTGGGGCCTGAGACAAAGGCTGTTGTGCACGTTTTGTGCCTAAACTGCAAGTTCTTTTTTTTTTTTTTTTTTCTCTAGTACCGGGAATCGAACTCACAACCTTACACTTGCCAGGCAGGCGCTGTGCCGCTAAGTCCCCAGCCCTAAACTGCCAGTTCTTGCCGGGTGGGAACCTTTAGTTTCTGCTCCTAGATGCCCCCAACATGATCGCACTGTGATTCGGCCCCAGATCCAGTCCCCTGAGCTAGGACGCCAGGCCCCACCTCTGCCCCAGGGCAGGGCAGTGGTAGCCAAGCCATCCTTTGAGGACAGACCTACTTTCAAAACAAAGCCCCTGCATAATGGAAAGCCACGCGTGAGCCTCTGGCCTTGGCCCCTCCCCGCCACCTAGGAACCCCCCACGCAGAGGCACTAAGGGCGATTTCACCGTTGGTGGGGTCTCGTCGGCTTCCTGCCACCGACCTGTGTTCACATACATTTTTGATGTTTTGTTCACCACGAACTGTTACTGATTTTAACTTTTTTTTTTTTTTTTTTGGTACTACTGATTTTAACTTTAAAAATATTGCATTAAAATGATATTTATCGGGGCTGGGGATTTAGCTCAGCGGCACAGCGCCTGCCTGGCAAGCGTAAGGTCATGAGTTCGATTCCCGGTACCGGAGAAAAACCAAAAAAAAAAAAAAAAAAAAAGATATTTATCTAGAGCACTCGTTTTTTTGGGCGCCTACATTTTCCGTCCACTCGCCTGACGCCAGACACCCCAATACCTCTGCCTTTGACTGGCTTGGGGGATACGAGCGCGGGGCTCCGGGAATCACAGTGCACCGCGTGGGGGGATGGGTCGCTTTATCCCTGCGCCCCGCAAGCAGACAGCGAGCAGCATCGCACAAACCGGGGTCAGGACCCGGCTGCCAGCGCGGACGAGGCCCGGCTCCGCAACGCACAAGCGCGACCAGAAGGTGCCAAGGCACAAGTGCGCACTTGAAAATTTCCCAACGCCTAAAAATAGCTCTGATAAAAGCGGGAAGTGGGCTGGCTCACCGGAAAGGAGTGAACGCGAGCTCACAGCCCACTTCCGGCCGCGCCGCGCGACACCGCGCGACACCGCGGACCCGCCCCGGCAGCAGGGGGCGTGGCCTGTGGCGCGTGGGCGTGGCCGGGGGCGCGGTTAGAGAGTAGGCGTGGCTGGCAGCGGTGGGCGGGGCCGCAGCGGGGTTGGGGGTTGGGGCAGGCGGCTACTGGGCGTGGCAGAGGCCAGGTGTGGGCGGGGCCGAGGCAGCGGGGAGGGCGTGGGAGGGACTGTTGCTGAGTAGGCGGGGAGTGGGCGGGGCCGCGGGTGGAGCCTGCGGCGACCCCTCCGGGCCTGACTCACCGCCTCCGCCTGCACCTTCAAAGGGCGATGGCTTCCTGTGGCCGCTGTCCAGCTGCCCGCTTGGCCGACTCCGCGGGAGACCCTCCTCGTCGCGGGAGCAGATGTCCCCCCACTCCTTTGTCCCCAGCTCCTCCTAGCTCCTGCAGACCCTACAGTTTCCATCCCCGTCCACCTCCCTCCCTGCCCTTGGCCTCTCAGCCCCACGCGTGCTCTCCCAGCCACGCCTCCGCCGCTTCCGCGTCTCTAGCCAGCTCGCACCCCTTGCATTGTCCTCCCCACACCAGCTTCTAACCTCGCATCCCTTCTCAGGGCATTCTTTTTAAAATGAGTGCATTTTTACACGAACATCACGTCCTATGTAAAGACGTGCAAGAACTTCACCAGCAGCCCAAGCCCGCCGCGGGCTGGGAGCTTCTCACCGCCCTCGCTTCGTCATTTCTCCAGATCCTTGCAGGCCACAAGCTCGCTTCTATGGATTCACCCAACTGCTAATCCAAAGTGTTCTGGAGAAAAAATATTACATCCTTTCTAAACATGTACAGTACAGCAACTATATACGTATCATTTACATTGTATCAGATGTTGTAAATAAACTAGAGATTTTGGGGGCCGCCTGTATGTCCAGCAACAGATGAGCAGATAAAGCAAATGTGATGTTTACATGAGTGGAGTACTATTCTGCCCTAAAGAAGGATAAACTTGAGTCATTTATAGGAAAATGGATGCACCTTGAGACCATAATGTTAAGTGAAATAAATCAGACACACAAGTCTAAATATTGCATGGTTCTCTTGCATGAGAAACTGAAATTATAAATATACAGCAAAATAAAAGATAAATACTGTAGTAGGAAGTAGGGAGACAAATCTTTCTCAAAGGAGAAGAGGGTCAAAAATGGAAGGAGACAGAAGGGAGCAGAACAGGATGAAAAAGGAATTGAGGTGTGTTGTGTTCATGCTCTGACTCCACAGAGGAATGTAATCATTATGTACTATAAACATGGACTGATAAAAATATATTTAAAAAGTATATAGGAGGGCAAGGCCTGGTGGTACACCCCTGTGATCCCAGCACTTAAGAGGCGGAGGCAGGAGAAAGGGGTTTGGGGTCAGCCTGGGCTACAATAGTGAGACAAGGAAGGAAGGGAGGAAGGAAGGAAGGAAGGAAGGAAGGAAGGAAGGGAGCTGAGAGGGAAGGAGGAGGAAAGGGAGGGAGGAGGAGGGAGAAAGCGGGCAGAGAGGAGAGAGGGAGGGAAACAGGCAGCTGTGTGCAGGTTATGTCACACACGACACCACTCTGCACAAGAGACTAAAGAGATGTGAGCCTTCCCAGATTTGGGAGTCTGGGAGTGGCTGCATCCTGGAATCCATCTTCCTCCTTCAGAGGCAAAAGTGGACTGTGCACATCCCTGGCTGGTGGCCTGCCTCCCCATCCCCAAATTTTCAACTGCAAGTCACAGGCCCCAGGGCAGACTTAGCCGAAAAGAGAGACTAAGATCCCAGGGACCTCTGAGCTGCCTGCTAAGCGTCCGCCTGGGTTTCCACAATGTTCCAGGAGCCCCCGAGTCCTTGCACCTGTGGTTGTGTGCTGGACCTGCCAAAGCACTGAGGTCCTGGGGTCCGCACCCCTGCCCCTCCAAAACGGCCTGCTCCTCTCCGCAGCACTCTCCCAGCAGGAAAAACTTTACCGCCACCCCCCACCCCCCAAAGGCTCATCTGCCCCCTACACAGCTATGAACGGTTTAGTCCGAGACCCCTCCGGCTGCCCAGCTCCGCTGGCTGGACTGCTTTGGGGGCCGGGGTTCACCACTGGGGCCACCCTTTTCGTGACCAAAATCCCAGCAGCACTTAGGCTCCTTTCCTGACCCCCCAAGCATGGATTCAGAACCCTGAAACTGTATTCAAATGTGGGGCCAGGGAAGCATTTTCTGGGGAAAAGATTCTATCTGTCTTTGAAATTTTAAAAGAATTTGTGTCACTCCTCTGTCTCTCCCTAAAGAAAAGATAAGCAAGAAGCCCGTGTGCTAAAGTGCCAATTTCCATGGGATCCAAAACTGCTTGCTTTCATACCATCAGCTCTCCCAAGTCCTCTCCACCACCTCCCTGGGCAGCCGGCGTGGCCAGCTCAGCACCTCCTTGACCTGCGGTCACAGCAATGGCCTGAGGCACCGTGGGTTCCGATCCAGATCGTCTACGTGGTGGCGTCAGCCAGGGGCGGCGGGGGCGCAGGAATCTGCACATTGACAAGCGGGAGAGTCTGATGAGAACTTCCAGGCCTGCAGACTTGTCCAGAACAGGGTTTCTTTCTCAGGAATTTGTAACTACCCATTGAGAGTCCCTACTCGGGCCAGGCTTGCAGGATGAGTCTTGTGTTAAAGCCGATATTCTGGCTGGCCCCTTGCTGTGGGCCGGGTGTTATGACCGTGGAAATTTTCCTATGTCAGCCCTCTTCCTTTTCTGTTTTCCCATTCTACCTGCCCTGAGGCACAGCGAGGCAAAGGCGAAGGGATGAAAGCCACATCTCACGGCTTGCAGCCTTTGCGGCTTGTCCAGCTGTCCCCTGACTTAGGGCACTCGCACGGGTTATTTTTACAAGCTTACTTTGCCCACGTGTCTGTGTTTCCTAAGTGTTATTTGAACGGGTGAATCAGAGCAGAACGGTTAAGTCACACAGTGTCCTGTCCTCCGATCGTGGCATGGGGTCACCTCAGCGGCTGTGTGTGTTTGTCCCCCACGTCTGTGAGCCATGAGCAGCTGTCGGTCATGGCAGGAGGCCAGGCAGCGTCTGGAGGCCCCATCACAGCGTGAACCTGGGTCAGATGAGTCCTGGCCCCTTGCAGTCCTACATCCTTTGCTGTTTTACATCTTCATTTGTATCACTGTGTGTTTGCGGTGTGTGGAGGAGCTGTATACAGCGCATGCGCACAGCACATCTTCACTCTCCCTTCCCCTCCTTCCCCTCCCTTGCTTCCGTCCTTGTCTCGGTCCCTCTCACAGAAGATCTCCCTGTTTCCTACATCTTGTGTTTCTCCACCACGCCAGCCACAGCTTTTCGCTGGGTGATAATTCAGAGTAGATTCGCCCTTCCTGGAAGCCAGCCGGGTCCCCTTCCAGCACCGAGCACTTAGCTGTGGGCTCTCAGGGGTCTCTGCTCTCAGGAAAGTGGGTCCTGGAACACATCCTGCAAACGAAACAGGAACGTCAGTACTGGGTGCCTGAGGGCCGTACGCGGAAAAGGCATCCCTCCAGGTGATCGTGGGAAGCAGCCAGAGGAGAAGAGAGACAGCCTCAGGGAGCCCAGCAGAGGAGGCTGCCCAGCTGGGGACAAGGTCTGAGCGTCTAAGGTTCTCCAAAGGAGCCCGTATGACTGGAGGGACAGGCCTGGGATCGCCCAGCCCAAGGTGGAGGTGGGATTTTGGTTAGACTCTTAGACCACCTCCCCGGCTGCTGTAGATGGTGGGTTTTGTAGGGCAGAGGGGAAGGACAGGGAACGGACAGCATTGGAGGATATTTGAGGGGTCCCTGGGAGGTGCAGTGGTGATTCTACAGCCCCAGCTGACAGCGTCTGTCTAGATGGCTGCGTCTCTGTGGCCCTAACACTTACTGCCTCACCACCTTAGGGACCTTCTGCCCAGCACCTCCAAGGCTGCTCCTGACACTGCAGCTGGGACAGGTTGTTCACCGGACCAATCAGAAGAGGCTTCATTTGCATGTGGGTACAGCCAATTGAAAGACACCATTTCTGATCCCTCATTTACATAGAACAGAAAGCCAGCCAAGCTTTTTGAGGAGACGGCGAATGAGTGTTTGATAGGACAACTGTCCCTACCCCTTCTTTACATGGAAGAGAGAGAACGGAAAACTGGGGTGCTGTGAGCCTTTCCCCAGCTGCTGTCACTCTGCAGAGCGTGCTTCTGTTCCGCTTCAATGCGCTTACAGTTGTTGTCTTTGTTTGGGACCCCAAGGACCAGGAGAGAAGCCCCGGGGACTCTCCATGCAGTAACGTTGTCACTGGAGGGTCATGGACATTGATCCTCCCTCTGTTGGACTCAGCCTCCTTGTGGGGATGGAAAATACATGTTCCAATTAGTACAGTCAGGGAGCTGTCCAGGAAGGCCCGAGGCAGCCCTGCAAGACCTGAGACTGGGAGGAAGTGAGTGGGGGCGGGCTGGAGAGCCTTGAGGGCAGAGTGAAAGCACACACAAAGGCCCTGGGGCACAAAGGGAAGGTTTTTTTTTTTTTCTTAAAACCCACACTAAGCAGAATTGAGCAAAAACAGGAGGAGGGAAGGAAGCAGGTAATTTGTTCTTTGCAGCAGCAGATCAACTGATCAGATCAACTGTTCTTTGAAGCAGCAGGTCAACTGATGCGTGTCACCTGTGAGGGTGAGACAGTGTCTGAAGCTTAGAGAGTGGAGATTTTGCTACAGGCATGGAAAAGCATGTTCTGGACTATTCCTGAATCGAGGGAAGCTCTGTAGCTGAAAATGAGTATTTGGCCCAGAGATGATAAGTTTTATTTGAAGTTGATGTCTGATATTGCAGATCCAAATTCTGAAATCCTTCCCCTTAGCCCCAGAGATCTCTCCTGATTAATTCCAAGGGCACAGACAGACAAAGACAGAGGAGAAATGCCCCAGAGGGGTGACAAGCAAACTAGTCATTCAGTTGTCACTTTATCCCCGTGAGCATTCCAGTGCCATCCAACTTTCCCAAAAATTGCTGAAAGCCACTTCAAAGGAAAGGGCATCTCCAGACCCAGAGATCTCCACTACAAAGTTTTTGTCTTATTAAGAATGGAAAATGAGGGGCTGGGGATTTAGCTCAGTGGTACAGCGCCTGCCTGGCAAGTGCAAGGTCATGAGTTCGATTCCCGGTTCCGGAAGAAAACCAAAAAGAATGGAAAATGAGGGGCCAGGCCTGGTGGTGCAAACTTGTAACCCCAGCACTTGGGAGGCTGAAGCAGGAGGATCACTGTGAGTTTGAGGCCAGCCTGGGCTACAAAGTAAATTCAAGGTCAGCCTGAACTGCATTAAAAAAAAAAAATGGAAAATGACCTATCACGTTATTGAGAATGAATACAGATGCACCCCCGTTTATTTTTATTTCTATTTCTATTTAGCTCTCACTGTTGGCTTGGAACACCTGGAAGAAAATGAATTCATCTCTCCTCACCACTGCTCTGGTTTGAGCTAGAGTTTACCAGGGAGAAATTGACCCATTGTTAACTTCTGAAATGCCTGCTACTCAGAAAAAAGTTTCTATAAACTGAAGCAATACACATGTAAAAGCAAACCAAAAAAATCCCAAAGTGAATAAGGTCCTTAAATACATAATGCTTTAAAATTAAAATATTGTATTCTTTCTTGGTGAAAAGATAAACTGATTTAAGAGACAAAAGAAAAGAATATAGGCAAGTCAGGCCACAAAAATTAAGACTTTTTTCCCCTACTGCTTTAAAAATATTTAAGTTGGAGAAGGAGGGGTTGCATTAGGGTGCTGTTCAGAAACGTGGAAGTGAATCCGTTCCTGGGAATTTCTCCCAAGGAAATAATTTGAATGATAATTTGATGATAACTTGAACAAACCCCCACAAGTTTATACTCGCTCATAGGTGAGTGCTTATTGCTTCACGACCTGCGGTATTCTGATGGGGCTAGGGGTGGGGGTGGGGTGTTCTGCTGAGAAGTGGGGTGAGGAAATGGGGTGAGGACAAGAAGGACTCAAGGGAGCGAGGAGTGAGTTGCTTCAGATATGAGATGAGGAGGCAGGTTCTCGCTGTCGCCTGCGGTTAGAGAGGAAGACTTGGTGTCAGAGATATTTCAAGATCACTTAAATGTGTATGGGGAGGAGGAAGGAAGAAGCTAGGATCCACTCAGGGTGGACAGTGACGCAACCACAGGGAAGAGAGATACCAGTGAGAGCCGGGTCTGCCCACCTGACGGGGGCTGGAGCCAAGTGTGGGGGAGTTGGCAGTTCTGTTTGGGCCATGAACAGCCTTGAAATGATGACCTCCAGCAGGAAGCAATGGAAAATGTGGGCCTGGGCTGAGGCAGGAAGGTGACTGGACATAAATAAAAAATTAAAAAGTTTTCCCGAGAAATATATAAGTCATCAGGGACTTCCTTCCTCCGTTGTTCACCTTGAGCCTCATCCCGCTAAGTCTTTCAGAGGTATCTCTTTGCCTGAATGTGCACATTCTCCACCTTTTTTACACTCCAGTGCAGGGATTGAGGCAGGAGATTAGGGCATGGCAAACAGGCTGGGCGGTTGGGTGTGACCTGTCAATCATGGAGATGCAGAAGACAGGGACACAAGCTCTATACTTGAAACCAATCAGAAAGTGCTATCTTCAGTTCATCTCACCAGAACTCAAGGAGGTTTCTGATAGGAAGGTTTAGATATGATATCAGCCTGAGGAGTGGGGGATACAAAAGGTGGACGCCATTAAACTCTTGGCCACTGTGTGCTGTCTTTCACAGTGGTTGCTCTCACCCTGCAGACTGTACTTCTCTTCTTACTTTTAATTGGCCTGTACTCACTCTGCAGAGCATATTTTTCCCCTACCTTTAGTAAAGATAAAGCCTTGCTACCCGTTACACTTTTTCTGTCTACTTTGTGCAGGACAAAAACAACCCAGAAAGAATCTGTTCCAGAAAGAATCTCCCAGGACTCCAGAATATGAAGTTCAAACCTAGGGCCTTTTCACATGGTAGGCAGCAAGCTGCTCCCCAACCCACAGCCCTTTTTCTTACTTCACCTTTGTCTCTTATTTTGTTTAAAGAAATCATCTGAAAGTAAATATTTCTTTCCAAGTAACCTGTCTTTATTTTAGTGGTAAAAAGCTAGAAAAAAACACAGACAATCAAAAAGAAAAAAGAAGTCACAGAGCATTTTGGGGTAGATTAGATCCTTTCTACTTTTATGCTTCCTGTGTGGCCAGCACCTGACCAGGCCGGGATTCCTGTCTGTCATACACGCTCTGGATGGCTTCTGCCAAGGAATGTTAGACACAGTTAGGGTTAAGTAATCACTTGTGTTGTTCCTTCTCTACAAAGCCCAGTGGTTGAATAAAGATATGTTGGATTTTTTTTTAACCAAAACGAGATCAATTGGTAGATAGTGTTTAAACTTATTTTTCTCTTATATTGATACATTGGGAACAATCTTTACTTACCCACACTGTGTCTTAGCTTGTTTGCTGCTGCTATAATAGAATCCCACCAACTGGGTAAATTATAAACATGGAAGGTTATTTGGATCATGATTCTGCATTTGGATGCAAGGTCCAAGAGCCCAGCGGGAGCACGTGACAGGGATCTCTGGAATGTGTCATCCCACGGCAGAAAGCAAGAAGGCAAGCACATGTGAGCAAGGGAAAACTGGGCCAAACTCACTCTCTTTATTAGGATCCCATTCCCGGGATAACTAACCCACTCCCACAGTCACGGGATTACTCCGCCTCTTAACCATGTTACAGGGCAGTTTTGTTCCAGCGTGAGCGCTGGAAGGACGTTCTCGCCGTGGTACCTCGACAGTCCTCACGCTGCCCTGCCGCCTGCTGTATTCAGCCTGACGACTGAGCCAAGGTTTATTTCCATTCCTTATTCTTGGACACGGAAACTGTGTCCAAGCTTTCTCTAATCTGCTGCTTTTAGATATTTTTATGCATACGTCTATGCCTGCTTGTTTGTCTTCTAAAATTGGAAGCAGAGGGTCAAGGAATATGCCAAGTTTTCAGCTTTTGAAAGTAAAGGCTGGTGAATTATCTTCCGAAGCATCTACCAGTTTATAGTTCCAAGTTTTTACTTTTTTTTTTTTTTTTTTTGCCTATTGTAAAAGTATTGCATATTGATGACGGACAGCTCAGAGAATACAGATAAGCAAAGGAAAAGAGTGAGAGGAGGCTGGTCCCAGCAGGTAGCTTTCTGCCCTGCGGGAGAATTCTCTGCATATTTGGTCTATGCAGACACTTGGGAGAGTTGACTTCAGCGTGAGGCCCAGGCTTCCCACTTGCTGGCCCTGAGGCCCTCCCGAGAGTTTAACATCTCCAGACTTCCGTTTCCTCCGAGGTGGAGACACCACAGGACAGGTCACCCGTGTCCTATCGCCACCAGCCAGGCCTTGCTCCCTCACCTTCTCCGATTCATCCCTCAGATCAAGCCAACCTGTCTTCCAGCCCCTCTCCTACCCGGGCCCCGGGCCTACCACTCCAGTCACACTGTCACCTTCGCCAGTCGGGGTCAGGTTTACATTTGGTCCCACCCAGTCCAGTCACAAGTTCTTCCTCCCTCACATCCTCGCCTGCCCTCGTCCTGCCATCTGTCCTTTGAGGCATCCAGACAGAAACGTCTGGGTTACCTCCCTCTGCCCACGCTTAACTTGGTTCCAAGCACTTCTGTTACCCCACCTTGCCGGGTGCAGCTGCGGCCAGATGGTATTTGGTGTGAGTCCCTGCCTGACACTTGACATTGCCACTGTGAGCTGTCACCTTCCTCCTCTGAGCCTCAGTTTCTTCATCTGTAAGATGGGTTGATATCGCACCTGCCACTTAGGGCCGAGGCTCTGATGGCCAAGGCGATAGCCGGGGTAAGTGCTTAGCATCACAGGGCTGGTCACAAGGTGCTCCTGGAAGGGGAACTGGGAGGAGCCCACTGTCATTATCTGCCATCTCCAGCTGTCACTGTCCATCAGCCCCAGTTCAGCCCTCACGCAGCACTGACACCCGAGTCCCTACCTTTAGCTCCCTCCAGGCCGGATTTCAGGGTGCCACCAGGATGACCTCCACACTGCCGTCTGGAGCGTGTCACTCTGCGTAAGCCTCACGCCGTTCCTCAGGTTCCTGGGAAGCTGGCTCCAGGGTGCGTTTCCAGCCTGGCCACTCAGCCGCTGAACCCTGTCCCACCGTCCCTGCCGGCTGTCCCCAAGCTCTGCTCCAACTGTCTGTGTGCCCCGCCCCTCCTTGAAGGGAGCCCGGCCTGGACAGAGCCTGTTTCTGTCTATGGCCGCAGCGCTGCCCGATTCACATAGCCCCTGAGCTTGTCTTCCTGGGTCCCAGGCTCTCCATCCCCCAAGCATCCTCCTGGTACTGCCCAGGACATCACGCGCCATGAGGTCCCATCTCCACGGTGACAGTGGCGGACGCCCTTCACGTTCCCTCTGCCCACCCTCTCCGTGCTGGTGTGTTCACTGTCCCTGTTACTAGATAACATTTTTCTGGGATTCAGATGCACAAACGTTTACCTACAGGCTGAAAGTTTCAGACAGAGTGATTACCTTTCCCGGGACTTGTTCAAAGCCACCTCGGGTGAAGTCTCCAAGGTGGCCGTGCCTGACGACGGTGCAGTCTTAGAGTTCTGCACGGCATGAATTAAGAGCTGTCTCCCATCCAGGGGCGGGTGAGGGGCAGCCTCGCTCCTTGCCCACTTTCCTCTGGGGCAGGGCAGTTGAGCTCTGCTCTAAAGAGAAGGGAGGGGTGGGGCGCTGGCCTGGGCTCCCCTGTCCCTCCTAGAGGCACGTAAACTTCAAGTCAGTTTGTTCAGTCCTGTTCCCCATCGCAGCTGTACCATGACCAGCACTCAAGTGGGCGGCTGGCTTACTGCTGCGTGCTAAGGAATGTCACGTCCCTGCCGGCTGTGTATTCCCAGAAACGTACCCCCACCAGGGCTGCTGAAAAGGAGGGAGTGACTCAGAGCTCCCTGCCATCCGGGGCTCCCCGCTAGGTGCGAGTTGTCAGGACAGTGTCGCCTCCTCCCCTGGGGCGGCCGTGGCCTTGGGAGACCTGAGCGTGGATTGGGCCAGGAGCCCGCTGCCTACGTGCAGATGCTTTGCTGTCCAGGTCTTCGCAGGAGGGTTGTGTAGGGGAGGAAATGAGGCCGTGTCAGCCGGACCCTGCTCTGCGCTCCCTGCCTGCGGCTCTGCCTCGTGGGGGCCTCTGTCTCTTAACGGGCTGCTGTGCATCACCTCTCTCTTCTGTCGGAGGTCACCGGCCCTGCTGCCCCGCAACCAGCTCTTCACGCTGCCTTCCTCATCCTCCAAACTAAACATTTTCCTAGTAGAAAGACCTGCAAAAAATTATTTCAAGGTCAAGAATTTGGCGGCTGTCCCTGAAAATGAAGCACAAACTTTGCCGGGGTTTTATGACATTCCAGAGAGAAGCCACCTGCTTCTTCCGCCCACCTCCCGGCCCCCGGCCCTGGCCGAACGAGCCATGGACCAGCCCAGTTGCCGGGCCGCACCACAGAGGCGTCCTTGCACCCTTGTCCCCAGTGCCCCAGCCCAAGGTCCCCTCCGGCTGGCTTGTCAGGGGCTGCAGTGCTGGGATCGCAGCCCAAAGCATTGCTGAGGCACGGGCGCCGGTGCCGTGGTTCCAGGCTACTTCCAAACGCATGTTTACTCTCCCAGAAGGAGGAAGACTTCCATTTCCCGAGGCTGCTAATGAGCACCCTCTACCCACCTGTGGCCGGGGTGTGCTGACATGAGCTCTAGACAGCCCCCAAGGCTCTCCCCAGACAGGGTGGGTTTGCACGGCCCAGGAGCCCGGAAGGAGGCAGACGGGTGCCGTGCTCACCGCGTCTGCGTCCTGAAGTCTCTCGCCCCATCTCCCAGGCCCTGTTGCTTGGGCCATCTCTGCCCTGTGACTCAAGGCTTTGCTGCGGAGACAACTGCCCCAAGGAAGAGACCATGTTCCCCACATTGCCGGCCGGGGTGGGGACAGGAAGCCACCGCCTGCCGGGCGATGTCGTGGCACCGAAGCAATGCCCCACTCGTGCAGAAAATGAGCTTCTCAGCTCTTCCAAGCCAACCCATAGGGTGTGGAGAAAAGGACCCACATGTGATGCCCTAAGATCTCTGTCATCCCACGTGGGTGACAATTTTCCACACACGAGCGGACTCTATCTCAACATTTCCTAAACCTTTTCTTTCCCCTAAAGCTACACATGGGTCCTAAGAAACAGAGCGATTACCTCCTCAATTCTGGAACTCCTACGGATTCTAATCTGGGGGAGAGAAAGTGAAGGAATGCACAGGAACCAGCGAAGATCATTTTTGAGATGTCAGCAGCGTGACCCACAGGCCCCACAGGGAGTCCTGCTTTTGTTCACATCTTTTTTGTTTGTTTGTTTGTTTTTTCCGGTACCGGGAACCGAACTCACGACCTTGCACTTGCCAGGCAGGTGCTTTGCCGCTGAGCTAAATCCTCAGCTCCTTGTTTACATCTTCAGCACAGGATTTCAGTGAAACTTGGCTGTCCGCTTCCTAGCATCCTGCACTGTAAGGGTATCACAACTCACTCCGCACCAGCGCTGACGTTCAGGACCAGCTCACTGGGCCCGAGGGAGCCAAACTGTAGGTAGGACACAGTCAGGATTTCAGAAACTGTGAGTTTAGGTGGGCAGGAGGCCCTGGGAAAGAAAATAAGGGGAGTATAATCGGAAGGAAAATTAACAACAGGCTTTAAAGAGTGCGTCCTGGCACTAGAGGCTTAAGATAATTTAAACACCTGATTGATTCTGGTTCAAACTGTGTCCCAAGACAGTGGAGTTAGCAGTGAAGATACAGGCGCCTTGGTGTCCTCCGGTGAGGGGCTCCCGGATGCCCATGGGTGCAATGTTCTGCAATGCTCAGGTTCTTTCTGCGAAGCAGCACAGGGCTTGCTTAGAACCCATGCATGCCCCTGGGAGAGTAAGTCCCCGACTTCCGGACATTTGAGCTGCAGACTTTCACAGATACAAATGGACCCCGCACTACAAACGTGTGCAGATGCACACGGATCGCGGAAGAACTCGCTGCGCAGTGTGGCCGAGGGCAGTGGCTCAGGGCTCAGTGAGAGCCCAGGGTGTCTGGAAATGAGAGAAAAGCAGTGGTGATGTGGGAGCAACTGCTAGGGAGCACAAAGCAACACACATTGTATATTTGTGTCAAAGCTGTGTAGGACTCACTTTGTTGGATTTATGAACAAATCCGATTTCTGAACATTCTCCCAGAACAAAACTCCTTTGTAAGCCAGGGACTTACTGTACTTAAATCAGCTCTGGATTACGTATAATGCCTAATGCAAACTAAGTGCTATGTAAATAACCATACTGTATTTTTAGGGAATAATGGCAAGAAAAATCTGGCCTGGCATGGTGACACTCGCCTATAATCCCAGCACTTGGGAGGCTGAAGCAGGAGGATCACTGGAAGTTTGACCCCAGCCTGGGGTACAAAGTGAGCTCAAGGCCAGTCCTGAACTGCATAGTGAGACCTTGTCTCAAAAAGATTAAAAAAGAAGAAGAAGAAAAAAATGACAAGAAAATTCTGTATATGTTCAATACAGTCATGACTTTTTTCGAATATTTTTGAAACCCTCAGATACTTTGGGCCGATGATATTTCCTCCTTTATTCTATTTTTTTTCCTCCTTTATTCTAAATGAAGGCTTTGCAGCAGATCCAGGGTGTTTTGAAAGAAAGGCAGAGGACAGAAGCCTCAACTTCAACCCTCTCTAGCCCTCAAGAGTTTTGTATTATTTTACAGTAGGTGCAGTAACTTGGAGGCAGATGTTTGGCAAAGAGAAAGAAGACATTTTCTTCCCTTAGAGGATGCAAGAGAGGTAGGCAGTCCCAGGGCTTGCTTAGTTATGAAGGATCTGGGTAATCTGGTAAACTTCTCCCACTGTGCCAGATAATCTCAGTTGTCAACCTGAACAAATGAAGAGACTCCTGGAGAGGTGATTAGATCATGTTTTAATACTTATCATACTTATCTGTGGATAAGTGTGGATTAATCTACTTGTGTTCAGAGCTGAACATGCTATTAGGAGTGGGGTCCACTTGGAAAGGGGGGTCCCTGGAGTCGTGCTTTTGGAGGATACATCTCTTCCCCATGCTCCACCAGGCCCTCCCACCATGTTGTTTCTGCCTTGGAGCAGCTACCCATGGACTAATCCTCTGAAACCGTGAGCCAACTTCGACCTCTTCAGCTTTAAATTGTGGGCATCAGAGAGTTTTGTCCCAGCAACAGGCAAGCTGACCAATATACCCACTTTTCCTATATTGACACATTTTGGATGAGGGACTAAAACTTTCTGTATATCAGTTTTCTCAAGTGCAGCATCAGAAAAATTATTTTAGCCCATTTTAGAGAACTATTGCCAAGAAAACGCAAGCATGAGTAAACTGGGAGAAACATTTTACTCTTAGGTAATTATCCTGTAGTCGAATATGACTGTGGGACCCTGGGGAAGTCTGTGTAGCATAAAGTTACAGCCTCTAGGCCAGCTCATCTGATTAGGATATTTTATCGGGGCATTACTGAATGTCCTGTTTGGGGCCCTCCAAGGACTAAAACATAAGGAAACCAGACGGGGTGTCAGCATGCCAGAGCCTGAACTTTTAATAGGGTGGAGCGCGGCTGGGAAGCCAAATGCTTCTGGTACTCTTTCTTGGCCCACTAGAGAAGGAATTTTTATTTTATTACATACACATTTTCTTCCTTTCTTTGGTAATAAATTACAACACTTTATAGCTCAAAGGAATTTTAGGGATGTCCTAGTTGTTTCTCATTTTGCAATCAGAGCAGGTCCTGAGGCTGCTGTGGCTAAGTGGGACCCACGTTTTCTGACTCAGACCCCAGTCTAAAGCACATGTGCAGCTCCACCCACCCGCTGCTGGGCTTCCTTAATGACACAGGCCCTTGTCATGTGAACATACTAGAGTGCATTTACACATACATAGAAGTGGAGCCTATGATGACATACATGCAGTATAGGCTATCTTTGGATTTCCTTTTCTTTTTACTTCTTAAACTTTATATTGTCAAAAACTAAGACACACACACAGCTAGGCCTGCTGTACAGGGTCATAATCCTCGGCCTCGATGTCCCCCCGGGAGGTCTTCACAGAGCAGCATGGGCTGTCATCTCCCATGGTACCAGAGTCTTCTGGAATCATGCCAGGCAACCTGCCTGAGGCTATTTGACAGCTAACCTTTTTTTGTTTTTTGTTTTTGAAACACAGGGTCTCACCATTAGCTCAGGAGGCTGGCCTTGAACTCACTGTGCAGTCCAGGCTCACCTCAAACGTGTAGTGATCCTCCTGCTTCAGCCTCCTGAGTGCTGGGATTACAAGGGTGTACCACCATACCTGGCAATTTTTTTTAATGTAAGTCGAAGGAGCATCCTAAAGTAATGATAAAAAGCACAGGATAGTAAATACACAAACCAGTAACACAGCTGCTTATTACCATTATCAAGGGTGATAACTGCATGCGATTGCATCTGCCGGACTTTTATAAGGCAGGTTGGTTTGCTTACGCCAGTGTCACCAGGAATGGGCGAGCGATGCTTTGTGCTGAGACCTTATGATGGCTCCGACTTCACTAGGTGACAGAGAACCCTCCGCTCCATTACAGCCTTGTGGGACAGGCATCCTGCGCCTATCGCTGACCACAGCGCTGTTTGCAGGCTTGATCATTTGGCCCCGCGATACCTGGTAGTTGCTGCTCACCCTGTCCCTTGCAGGGTCAGCAGGTAGCAAGAGCACTTTTTCTGCACTTGCTGAACTCATGTCTTCCTCCTCTTTTTCTTCCTCATCCTCCCTTCTTCTTCTTCCTGTCCTCCTCTTCCTTCTCCACCTCCTTCTCCCTCTTCTTCTTGTGGTCCTGAGGATTGAACCTAGAGTCTTTGCATGGAGCTACATCCCAGCCCTTTTCTGAAAATTTGAGACAGTTTTCATTAAGTAGCTAAGTTGCCCAGACTGGGCTCAAACCTGTGATCATCCTGCCTCAGCCTTCCAGAGTGCTGGAATTACAGGTGTGCACTGCCGTGCTGACTGACTATCTTTCTGTTGAAGCTTGCCAGGTGGCTTGGGCTCAGCCATGTGTGCGGAATGCAGAAGAGCTGGGCTCAGGACCCTACGTCCGTGGGGCCATAGTACGGAAACGTAGGAAGCCAATCGCTGCCCACAGGGCCTGCCCCGTGCCGGGCAGTCTCTCGTGTTAGCGCATTGCAGTCTGCACCCTGATCTTGTGAAAGAGCTGCCTTACTCCCACACAGCTAAGGGAATGCGGATCAGCAGTGTGAGCCTCTTCTCCAGAGGAGGGTAGATCCAGGCTGCAAGCCCAGATTCTGAGGCTGGAGTTGGTGCCATTCCCCGTAGGGCTGTATCACAGAAATTGTGTCCCGGGCAGATGACCAAGGTGGGGGCTCCGTGCCGGAGGCTGGGCAGATTCCTGAAACTGCAGGGAAAACTTGAGCTGCGCCTGGAGGATTGGGCAAAAAGGCAGTTCTCACACCTGGGGAGCGGGGCGCAGAGGTGACGGGACATTGTCCCCAATCCTGCTGGAGCAGGTACGCATGGCTGTCCTAGGGCCTGTTCCCTGTCAATCCACCCTGGCCCCTGTCCTTGGGGACCGATGCTGTCTTGACCCTGGATCCTATGGCCCCCAACTCCCAACAGGTGGCTTTATGCTGAGTCAGGTGCCTTTTAAACTCCTTGAGGACCCGGACAGCTGGCCACTGCCGGCCATGTGACCCCCGGACACCTAGGAAGCAAATGTGCATCACGGTACAGGCAGTGTCTTTTCCCCGAAAGCTCGGGGCCAGACGTGTTGCAGAGTTCGGGTTTTCCCCCAATTCTGGAATATTTGCATATTCATAAGGACATATTTGGGGGTGGGACCCAAGTCTAAACACAGACTTCATCTGTGTGGGCCTTTTGACTGTGGCTCGTCAAGACAGCGGGGGTGAGACTTCCTATTTGTGGCATCTTGTGATGCTCACAAAATTTCAGAGTTTGGAGCATTTGGATTTTGGATTTGGGGATTAGGGATGCTCAACCTGTACCCAGAGGGACAAGCAGAAAGACTGCTGGGAAGTGATCCCGCCTCCCTCACACCCCAGCTGCGTCTACCTGGTTACGAAGCCCCTCTGTGCCTCAGTTTTCTTGTCTGTGAAATGGAGACGGCGACAGTGCCTGTCTCAAGGTCAGCAGAAGATTTGTGAAGTTCATCTACAGAAAGCTCTTGGAGCAGGGCCTGCTGCCTCGCAGGTGCTCGAAGCTGAGGGTCCCATCCGTCAGAGCTCCGGCCAGTGTCCCGGAAGCCACCGCCAAGGACCTCGTCCGGGCGGGGGACTCAGTGTGTTTGGAGTCACCTGTTCCATTCGTAGATTGCTCCGACTAAGAGAATTCTTTGTGTCCCGCCAAAATCCATGTCCCTGTAACACCCACTCATTGGTCCCGGCTCTGCCAAAAGGCAAATGCCAAAAAAATAGTCTTGAAAGAGAAGGAAGATGCAGAATGTAAACAATCCTGATGGAACCGGGCTGAGGGATGACAGTCTCGTCACTTCCCTGGCTCGCAGCCCAGGACAGGCATGGACCGGACTCAAAGAGCTTGCAGTTAAGTCGGAAACACGGCGGAGCCTTCAGGTCCCTTCGACACGCATAAAACGACTTCTCTCCATCCTTTCCAGCCCAGAGCCTGCTGCTGCCCTGGAATGAGACCGCGGGGAACGTCACCTCACTGTGTACAGGTGACAGTCACAGGACCTGGAGCCATGACCTCACCGCACTTAATACGTGCCGCGCAGCCTGTAATCACGGAGCACGGGGAGTGGGAGGCAGGTGGCGCGCGTGTCAGGCTCCTGTTGACGGAGCCTCCCTGGCGTCAGGCGTGACATCACGGCCTGCAGGTCCCTTCCCTGCCCTCCTGGCGTCCTGTTTGAAGGTGGCGCATGCACAGTGACATCAGATGGTGCAGGCAACCCACACATTTGAAGTATAAATCAATTAACAGCAGGGGCTCCTGAGCCGTCTGCCCAGGGCTGAGCAAGCGTGAACACGGTCCCGGAAGGCTGGCGCAAGGACTGCCAACTTGTGTTTACAGATCAAAGGTGACCGGCTTTGGTGTCCTCGGGTAAGGAGGACAGGAGTCCCGGTCACCGTTGAGTGGGTTTTCTGGCCCTCCAGCTGCTCTTCTCGGATCCTGGCTTTGCTACCTGGCTTCCAAGGACTTGACCCAGAGGCCCCTAGATGCCCCCTCAAGGTCAAGGACTTACAGGTATCTGCAGCCCCGCCTGCCCAACAAGGGACTGTGTGCACGGGTCCTCCCTGAGCCCCTGCTGCCCGGGCACACACATGCACTCTGCCCAGCTGGCCCCTGCCACCTTGGATGAGGCCTCCTCCCTCCCCCATCAGGGGGCAGTCCAGTTAGAGTGATCCCCTCACTCAGGGGGTGCGTTCTAAGCCCCCTGCAGATGCCTGAAACCACGGAGAGTTCCAAGCGCCCTACGTTTTCAGCTGTGCATGATGCACCAAGTTAATGAATTTTCTTTTCCTTTCCCTCTCTTTTCTTTCCCCTCCTCCTCTCTTCCTTCCCTGCCTTCTCTCCTTTCTTTTTCTTTCTTTCTTCCTTTCTTCCCTCCTCTCTTTCTTTCTTTCCTCCTCTCTTTCTTTCTTTCCTTCTTTCTTTCTTTCTTTCATCTTTCTTTTTTCTTTCTTTCTTTCTTTCTTTCTTTCTTTCTTTCTTTCTTTCTTTCTTTCTTTCTTTCTTTCTTTCTTTCTTTCTTTCTTCCTGTGTTCTCCCTGGAGCCTGGCTCATGCTAGCCACATCCCCAGCCCTTTTTATTTCATTTTGAGACAGGTTCTTACTAAGTTGTCTATCCAGCCTCTAATGTGTGATCCTCCTGCTTCAGCCTCTCAGGTAGCTGGGATTATAGGCTTGCACCACCAAGCCCAGTTGGGTTTTCCACCATAATTAACACATAGACAATATCTTACCATGGTTGTAAATTTTGCAGTGTGAGATAGGACAGCAGCAAAACTTGCACACGTTTCTTTCTTTCTTTTTTTGTCTTTTTGAGACAGAGTCTCGCTATGCAGTTCAGGCTGGCCTTGAGCTCACTTTGTAGCCCAGGCTGGTCTTGAGCTTGCAATGATCCTCCTGCCTCAGCCTCCCCAGTGCTAGGATTACAGGCATGCGCCACCATGCCTGGTGCACACATTTCTTTTACTTCTTCACAATTCTATTACCATAGACCTTAGCAGCTTTAATGTGTGATTTCTCCCCTTATTAAATCAAGAAATTTTGTTTTTTCACCCAAAGCAAGCATTTCCTGGCACAGCTGATTCACCAGCATCACTACTTCTGTGCTTGGGGCCATTATGAAGTAGAAGAAGGGTCACTGGGACATAGGTGTGCAGGAGCGTGACTGTCCATCTGATGCACCAGGTGGTGGCCCAGTGACTAAGGCAGGTGAGCTATGCAGGGAGGACATGCAGGACCGAGGGACTGTGAGACATGACCAGAGCGGTATCCAGCCTCGTGCCATTTAAAACTCATGAACTATTTAGTTCTGGAATGTTTCACTTAATATTTTCTGTCCCTGGGTAACTGAAACCTCAGAAAGAGACCCTCAGATAAGGGGGCCTATTGTCACCTCCCTCAATGACCTCCCTGACCCCAGCTCCTGCGCAGTGATCCCAGGGAGAACTGGTCTGCACACCCTGCCGCGTCCCGGGCTGCCCGGGGTCCCTGCCTGCGGACCTCACTTTATTCAAATGAGCGAAGCTGCATAAGGTGCTCACAGGTTTGTGTTCTTGTCCCATCTCCGGGTCCTGGGGACAACCGTGGTGGCCCTGAGTGCAGCTTTGCAGTGCCATGTCCCACAGGGTCATAGGGCCAGCCCTGCTCCTGGGCGACGTGGGGAGAGGTCACCTGGTGACCGAGATGGGGCAGGGACAGCCCCACCTTGCTTCTTTTGGCTCAGGTACCTCTGTGTTTCCGGAGTTGTAAATGCTGGCTGGCGCCTTGCTGGGTCCTTGAGCCGTGCCGGTCCTCAGCCCTTGACATTAGGCTTTGTCTCCCGAGACCCCTTCTGTGACTCCAGGGACCCTGCCTCCCCCACTAAGCTCCCCCAGCCTCGAGGACCAGCAGGCTCATGTTTGCTGCCTGCTTCTCTTCCCGGCTGCCGCCTTCCTCCCACGGTGGACCTGTCCAAAGGTTCTGGCCTTGGCCCCCCTTCTGGGCGGCCACCACTCCCAGTTTACCCAGGGGGAGGGCACGCACGCCCTCCTGAGTCAACACTGCGCTGACTCACGCCTGGGAGGTCCGGCCTCTGCTCCCTGCGTGGCACAGCCTCCCTGCCCGGACCCCTTCAGTCCTGGTGCACCTTCCCAAGGGGTTTCCTCCCAGGCCACCTTCTCCATTCCTGCCTCCGAGTCACATGAGTTTCCCGAAGCACACAGGTTCTGACCCTCCAGGCTCAAGCCACTCCAGCTCCATCTTTGTATCCACTGCTCCGTTCTTCCCAGTGAAGTCCCCAGCTCCGGCCGTAGGAGGTCTTCCAATTCCTTGGTCCACCCTCTTTCAGAAAAGCCCACGGAGGCTGGGAGCTGAGCACGGTCTGAGCTCCAAGTCCTGACCCAGCCATCTTAATGGAGGGCGGCTTCTCCACCCACTCTTCGCGTTTCAGAAAGAGGGGGCCTCACTTCCTCTCCCCACAAGCTCTGCCTGCCACCTTCCCAGGCCCTCTGTTTCATCTCATTTCTGCTCCTTACTACCTGGGCAGCCCAAATCTCTCAGGCCTCAATTCCTTATTGGCAGCTTGGGGTTGATCATGTCAGCCTTGCACCTGTGATAATGCACATCTGTCATAGTGCAAACTTTGTCACATGGAGCCTTTTACAAGGAAAGCACTCAGTTCATGCAAACAGTGATGGTGATGATGGTGGTGATGTTGATATTAATATTGATGAGTGATCATGGTGGTGATGATGATGGTGATGGTGCTGATGGTAGTGATGATAGTAGTGATGATAGTGGTGATCATGGTATTGACACTGATGAGTGATAGTGGTGGTGGTGACGGTTGTGGTGGTGGTGATAGTAGTGATGATAATGGTGATGATGATGGTGATGATGGTGATGAGGATAGTGATGATGGTGATGATGGTGATGATGATAGTGATGATGGTGATGGTGATGATGGTGATGATGGTGATGATGGTAATGATGATGGTGATGATGGTGACGGTGGTGATGGTGATGATGGTGATGGTGGTGATGGTGGTGATGATGGTGATGGTGATACTGACATTGATGAGTGGTCATGGTGGTGATGACTGTGATGATGGTGATGTTGACCTTGAGAGGTGATCATGGTGGCGATGATAATGAACCTGTCCCTAACAACCCATGGATCTATCCAGAAAGTCTCTCCTTCCTCCCAGTGGCACACACACACACACACACACACACACGTACACACACACGTACTCATACACACACACATAGAGTACTGCTGTTAGGGTTTGTGTCTGGATGTCCCCCAAAGCCTCATGCAGTCATGGGGCGGCTTCTAGAGTTTTTGATTGATCCATGGTCCAATGCTGGGAGTATGGGTGTGAGTGCTACACCTGCCTGGGGGTGGGTAGTTTGCATACGATACAAAGGAGGGAAAGGGGCTTACTCTTTGCTACTCCTCCCTTTTTGTTCTTGCTGCTTTTGCTGCTTTCTGTTGCCCCGAACTGTTGCCCTCTGCCTTGTGCCACTCTGCCTTGGAGCCAGCCTAGTATGGACTGAGACCTCCACAGACTGTGAGCTAAATAAACCTTTCCTTCCTTAATTCTGGGCATTAGGTGTTTTGTCCCAGCAATGAGAGAAAAGTAACTGAGACAACTGCTAAGCCAAACACGTCACCTGGTCAGCACACCAACATCTTTACACAGTTGAAAGCAGATTAAAATGCTGTCATCTCCTCATGTTTAAAATTAATTGTTCCGTTGCTGGAAATACAAAACAAATACAAGCACAAATGTATTTCTTGGCCCTCTTCAACCTGTCCATGATATGCCGAATGGGACGATGCCCAGTCCAGCTCGAGTGCCCTGTTGGGATTTGTCCCCTTTACCCTGCATCTCAGATATCGCCTCTGCCTCCCAGCCTACACCCAGGTTTGCTGAGCATCCACTACACACAGGGGCAAGTGCTAGGCTAGGTAACCATGATGATGGTGACAGTTAAGACAAACAAGGAGGAAGAGAAGTGGAGGATGAAGAGGAAGAGGAGGAGGGGTGGAGAAAAGGACGAGGGAGGAGCCCTCCCTTACTGAGCACATACTGTGTTCAGGCACTGTCCAGAGCGCCTCACATACATGGACTCATTTACATACATTTACATGCTCATTTGCACTTGCAGACTCATTTACATATGAGACATATTTACATGCTCATTTACATACGCAGATTCTTTTCATTCTTATTACCAACCTGCTTACTCCTCAGAGAGTAAGAAAGTAAAGAGGCTGGGGATCAGGTTCAGTAGTCAAGTGCTTACGTAGCTTGTGCAAGACCCTGGGTTTGACCCCCAGAACTGCAAAACAGAAAAACAAAACCCTCTGGCAAGGGGCAGCCACCCTCCCTGTTTCACAACTGACCTACATAGCCACATTGCCGAGGGCGCATGCTGTGGAGCGGAGAGGCCGGTGGGACCCTGTGTCCACTGCAGAGAGCCCAGAGTCCATCTCCTGCTGTGCGACAGTGCCAGTGTCCCCGAGGTCACACTTGCTTGGGCAGAGGGAAAGGAGACAGCCAGGGCAGGGATGGCAGGGTGGGCTGAGGCAGGCTTTGAAGGCATGAAGCAAGGCTGTCTCCCTTTGGGTGAGCAGCCGGGGAGTCGGAGGACTGGCCAGTGAGAAAGGCAGCTGTGCAAGGCCGGGCGGAAGGAAGTGTGTGACTCTCGCACTCTGCCCCTCCAAGGTCAGTGCTGGGAAGGCGGGACATTCAGTCGCGGACCTGCCTTGGGTTGCGGCATCCATTCCCATTCCATCTACCTGTGGTTTTGTTGAATGTTTTAGCTCTTAGTAAATGCACAGTGAAAAATCGAGGCCCATGATACCTCTACTGACTCTCAAGTGATTCAGAAAAGATACACACACGTGTGTGTATGTGTGAGTGCAGGAGCTACAGTGAAAGTGGAACATGGCTGCAAACCTGCCGAAGTCCACACCTCCAGTCACTCTGGGTCAGCAGGGGTCCCTGCACTACTTTGGTAACCTTTCAGTACATCTGAAATGACATCAAAGGGAAAAGCCACCAAAGATACACACATGTAAACAGCAGCACACACAGCAAGATCTCAAAACCAGGCAAGACCCATCCAGTGTGGCGGGGTGCCTGAGGGCAGAGGGAGAAAGGGAAGAATTGGAAAAAGTAAGGCAGAAGCTAAGAGAAAGAGAGGAGGGAGGGAGAGGGTAGGAAGAGAGGGAGGAAGGAAGGAGGAAGGAAGGAGAAAGGAAGGAAGAAGGAAGGGAGGAAGGAAGGAGGGGAGGAAATTGTGATC